ATTTTTCAGAGGGGGAACAAGCTGGTCGCCTCCTAGCTAAACTTGTCAGAGCACAAACTACTGCCCAACCATCTCTGCTCTGCACTTTCAAGATGGCACTCTATTGAATACCCCTGATGTGGTGATAGTAGAGCTGGTCTCGTTCTATTCTACTCTATACCAACCTAAGGTATCTTGTCCTTCTGATTAACTGCAGGCCTATTTTCAAACTGTGTGGCTGCCACAATTGTCCAACTCCCAAAGGACCCTGCTAGATTCTTCTATCACTATTGAGGAAGTATAGGAGGCAGGTGTTTCTTTCCCCATTTCAAAAGCCCCAGGGGCAGATGGGCTCCCAATGGAAATCTATTCAGAATATGCAGACTACATGTTACCTCATTTGCTTGCAACTTACAATGAGGCAATAAGTCTCAGGAGGTTGCCAAATTTCATGGCTCAGGCCACCCTTTGTTCTACTGTTGAAGCTGGGCAAAACCTCCAGTAACCCCAACTCATAAAGGGCAGGGGTGTATTTACAACAAGGCAAACAAGGCATTTGCCTAGGGCGGCATTTTTCAGGGGGGGGGGGGCACTGCCCCTTGGAAGAAGGGATGGAAGAGGTGACACACGTGGCATGGGGACCTGGTGGGTTCCAAGAGATGCTGTGGGTTTCATGATGGTGTATACACAGTTCAACTCTCCTGGGGATTTCTGGAGCTGTGAAGGTGAGTGTCTTTCTCTCTCTCGCCATGGGGGATGGTGGCTGGTGTAGTGGAAAGCTAGGGTGGACGGCAGGGGTGTTCTTGGTCTATGTCAGGCTCTTTCTGTGGAGGGCACCAATTTTTTGTTGCCTAGGGTATTTACCCCACTGCATACAGGCCCATTTCTTTACTACAGACTGATATAAAAATCCTACAAAAAATACTAGCTATGCGATTGAACAAGGTCATTGCCAGCATCATACACTCTGACCACAATTCTACCGCAATCAACGGTGGGCATGGGAGGAGGAGACCAGGGAACTAGAGAGAAGGAGGTCTTGTGAGGAGCGGAGTGTGCGTGCTGGGCGGTACTTGGATATTAGGTCAGTGATGTAGTACGGGGCAGTATGGTGGACAGCTTTGTACGTCAGTGTTAGGATTTTGAATTTGATCCGTTGCGCAATCGGAAGCCAGTGGAGGGATTGGCAGACAGGGGTGGCGGAGATGGAGCGGTTGGAAAGGTGAATGAGTCTGGCAGCCGTATTCAGGATCGACTGAAGCGGGGATAGCCAGGGGCGAGGCAGGCCAGTGAGGAGGGAGTTGCAGTAGTCGAGTCGTGATATGATGAGGGATTGGATGAGCTGTTTAGTGGTTTCTGGGGTTAGGAATGTGCGTATTTTGGCGATGTTGCGGAGGTGGAGTCTGCACGAGTTTGTTAAAGATTGGACTTGGGGCTGGAAGGATAGGTTGGAGTCCAGAATGACACCAAGTACTCTGGCCTGTGGGGCGGGTTTGATGGTGGCGTTGTTGGATGTGACGGAGAAGTCAGTGGGGGGTGGTGTCCAGGCTGGGGGGAAGACAAGAAACTCGGTTTTGGAGAGGTTCAGTTTAAGGAAGTGGAGCGACATCCAGTCTGATATGTTGCTCAGTAGGTGTGTGATTCGGGCGGAGACCGAGGGGGTGAGGTGGGGGGTTGAGAGATAGATTTGTGTGTCGTCGGCATAGAGGTGGTAGTTGAAGCCGTGAGAGTGTATGAGTTGGCCAAGGGAGGAGGTGTAGATGGAGAAGAGAAGGGGCCCGAGGACAGAGCCTTGAGGGACCCCAACAGAGAGGGGGAGTGAGGGGGAGGTGGTAGCATTATAGGTAACGCTGAAAGAGCGTTGTGACAGGTAGGATGAGAGGCAGGAGAGAGAAGAATCTCTGAGGCCGAGGGAGTGTAGTTTTTTGAGGAGGAGGGGGTGGTCGACTGTGTCAAAGGCCGCAGAGAGGTCAAGGAGTAGGAGCACTGAATAGTGTCCATTAGCTTTGGTGGTTAGCAGGTCGATAGATCTTTTCCCATATATAGGTTGATGCACAATGTCTGGCATAAAACCAAACAACTGCAAGGGGTCACAGGGTATACCAGCTTTAGTACTCTCTGGCATAATCCCACATACCCTGAACTGGCCAAGCTTCAATACGCACCCAAGTGGCAAGGCTATGGTATCACACATGTAACACAGGTATTTGACAGTGACAAGTTGGTAACCTTCTCTGCTTTGCAAACTAAATTTGGTGCCCCTCTGCAGATGTACTTTTATTTGCATATCTGCAATTGAGACATGTTGTAACAGCTCAATTTGTTCCCCCTGACTTTTGTCTTTCTCCTACTCCAGTGGTTCATGTGATGAAACAAACTTCTTCCATTAGGGGCTTTATTTCAAACTGCTACCTACAGTTACTACGGTTCTACCTAGATAAATACCCATGTAAAGCCAGAGTACAATGAGTGTGTGGGAATTCACCGGAGAACAATGGGAAAAGGCTATGGAGGTGGTCTGCTATAGTTCCCTGAATGTGTCACAGCATCTCTCCCAACTGTACATACTACTTAGAGTGCATTACACTCCTCTTAAACTGCCTAAAATGGGCTTCTTGGCAAACCCTCTTTGTGCTAGGTATTGAAGGGACCATGGGGACCATTTGTTATGGCCGATCCATATGTTATGGCGCTGTCCCAAACTCCATAAATACTGTGACAGCATCCTACACATATGTCTGTCACTGGTCTGTCACATGTCTGTCACTGTCCCCAAAAGGGCTATTTAAAGCTGAGCACAATCTAGAAGAGCTGTTGAGTGGCCATCACCTCCTGTGGCCCGTAGCCTGACCTGCATTATGCTATCTACTGTTTGACCTGACTTGCCTCCTGACTTTTGTTCATCTGTATCTCCTCTTGTTGACCTTTGCTTGTGACAAGACTTCATCTTCTGCCTGCTGCATTAGTACCTCCCTCCCTTATCTTGGCCTTGACTCTGATTACAGCGCTGAGCAAACCCTTTGGCGCTATATACCGTAAATACTCTATAATAATAATAATAATAATTTAGCTTCTGTTTTTCAAATTGGTACATCTGTTGCACAGCTGTGACTGTTCCCTGCTCATCCTGACTATAAATCTGCTTTCTGCTCCTGTGAGTTCATGTGCTCAAGCTGTGGACCAGCATTCTACACAGATCCAATCTGAATCTCTCTAGAATCTCAGCAGTATTCAGTCTGCCTTCAGATCATTCCCTGGACCTACACCTACCATATGCACCTGTACCAGGTCTTGTCCTTCTATGTCTGTCACACCAGAGGGTATTACACATGTAGCACTACCCCCTTAGGGGCTGGTGATTAATTGGGTCCCCCTATAGTCCTGCACAGCCAGGCAATCTGCATTCTCCACACAAGCTTGCATTCAGAGTCAGAAATCAGTCCTTGAGCCTTAGTTTTGTTATTTATTGCGGTATTTGAACTGAGATGAGGTGGTGAGAGGGTAAGGGGGTATACAGTGGGGCAAAAAAGTATTTAGTCAGACACCAATTGTGCAAGTTCTCCCACTTAAAAAGATGAGAGAGGCCTGTAATTGGCATCATAGGTAGACCTCAACTATGAGAGACAAAATGAGAAAAAAAATCCAGACAATCACATTGGCTGATTTGGAAAGAATTTATTTGCAAATTATGGTGGAAAATAAGTATTTGGTCAATATCAATAGTTCATCTCAATACTTTGTTATATATCATTTGTTGGCAATGACAGAGGTCAAACATTTCCTGTAAGTCTTCACAAGGTTGGCACACACTGTTGCTGGTATGTTGGCCCATTCCTCCATGCAGATCTCCTCTAGAGCTGTCAGGGCTCCCAGGTGTGACCAGAGGTGTGTGACTGACGCAGGGAAACGCAGACTTCAGATATGTGATAAACAATATAATTTATTAACACTAACAATACAAACATAAACGCAGTGCAATACTAAACATAATACAGTGCAAACAAACCAAACCAACCACCCACAGATAACAGTACATACAAGCAAGCGTCGTCAGGCAGGCCGGATCAATATCAATTGGGCAGGTAGGTACAGGGGGAGCAAGCGGAGATTGGTCGGGGTCACAGGCCAGGTTCAGCAGGTAGCTAGCAGCGTAGTACAGAGGGTCAGGCAGAGGGATGGTCAGGGGCACAAGCCAGGGATCAGAACAGGTAGCAGGCAGCGTAGTACAGAGGGTCAGGCAGAGGGATGGTCAGACAAGCCAGGGATCAGAACAGGTAGCAGAGAATCAGACAGGAACAGAGAGCAGGAACAGGATACAGGGCCCAAGAGAAACACAACACCAAGGCAGAGTCTGCAAGTCTGGCCATCCCTTAAATACCCCAGCATAATCAGTTCCAGGTGTTAGCTGGCTGCAAAGTTGAGTCTCTGATTGCTGGGAGCATCCGCTGGCCAGCCCTGGTACTGCAGATCAAAAGGCAGGTGAGTCCCACCATTGCTGGCTAGTCCATTCCTGACAGTACCCCCCCCTCAAGGAGCGGCCTCAGGACGCTCCAAACAGTCCTAGCTGGGCAAAATGTTCCACCGCCCGGGTCTGGTAACTGGCGGGATATCAAAGACTGGCACACCGGGCAGGACTCCGGGCAGCGGCACACCGGGCAGGACTCCGGGCAGCGGCACACCGGGCAGGGGGCACACCGGGCAGAGGCACACCGGGCAGAGGCACATCGGGCAGAGGCACATCGGGCTGGACTCCGGGCAGAGGCACATCGGGCTGGACTCCGGGCAGAGGCACATCGGGCTGGACTCCGGGCAGAGGCACAACGGGCACTCGGGCAGAGGCTGGACTCCGGGCAGAGGCACATCGGGCTGGACTCCGGGCAGAGGCACATCGGGCTGGACTCCGGGCAGAGGCACATCGGGCTGGACTCCGGGCAGAGGCACATCGGGCTGGACTCCGGCAGAGGCACATCGGGCAGGACTCCGGGCAGAGGCACATCGGGCAGGACTCCGGGCAGAGGCACATCGGGCTGGACTCCGGGCAGAGGCACATCGGGCTGGACTCCGGGCAGAGGCACATCGGGCTGGACTCCGGGCAGAGGCACATCGGGCTGGACTCCGGGCAGAGGCACATCGGGCTGGACTCCGGGCAGAGGCACATCGGGCTGGACTCGGGCAGAGGCACATCGGGCAGGACTCCGGGCAGAGGCACATCGGGCAGGACTCCGGGCAGAGGCACATCGGGCAGGACTCCGGGCAGAGGAGGTCTCGGGCCCTCAGGCGGAGCGGCGGGCGCGGACCCCCCATGTTGGAGTCGGAGACAGGTCTCGGGCCCCAGGCGGAGTTGACAGGTCTCGGGCCCCCCAGGCGGAGCGGCGGGCGCCGGACCCCCAGATGGAGAGCGACAGGTCTCGGTGCCCTCAGGCGGAGCGGCGGGCGCCGGAACCCAGGTGGAGCGACAGGTCTCGGGCCCTCAGGCGGAGCGGCGGCGCGCGGACACCCCCAGGTGGAGCGTCAGGTCTCGGGCCCCCAGCGGAGCGAGAGCGACAGGTCTCGGGCCCTCAGAGCGGAGCGGCGGGCGCCGGACCTCCCCCAGGATGGAGCGACAGGTCTCGGGCCCTCAGGCCGCGGCGGGCGGGCGCCGGAACCCCCAGGTGGAGCGACAGGTCTCGGGCCCCCAGAGCGGTGCGGAGGCGGAAAGGTCTCGGGCCCCAGGCGGAAGCAAGGGCGGGCGCCGGGACCCCCAGGTTGGAGCGGACAGGTCTCAAGCCCCCAGACGAAGCGGCGGGCACCGAGTCCCAGGCAGACAGTGGGGCACCGAGTCGTCTGGCAAGACTGCGGGCACCGAGTCAACAACAACTGGCGGAACAGCGGGCACCGAGTCAACTCGGCGGAAACTGCGGGGCAACCCCCCGGAAGGGGTCTGGGTCAAGATGGGGCACCGAGTCGTCTGGCAAACGCGGGACTGCGGAAGATGCGGGCACCGAGTCGTCTGGCAAGACTGCGGGCACCGAGTCGTCTGGCAAGACTGCGCGGCACGAGTGGCACCGAGTCGTCTGGCAAGACTGCGGGCACCGAGTCGTCTGGCAAGACTGCGGGCACGAGTCGTCTAGCAAGACTGATGCGGGCACCGGAGTCGTCTCGGCGAAGACTGCAGGGGCACCGAAGTCGTCTGGCAAGACTGCGGGCACGAGTCGTCTGGCAATGTGACTGAACGGGCACTGGGTCACCAAGGCATCTGGGAGGTCCATTTGTCTTGCCCAGCGTCGGCACCGCGGGTCATCTGGGCAAGGCAGTCGGGCATCGTAGCTGGGGGCGAGCACCAGGGTATGACAGCGCTGGTGGGCTCTGAGTCAATTGGCACGACAGCAGGCACTGGATCCAGGTATCCGGATCATCTGGATCAACAGCGGGGCATCGAGTCAACTGGCCTAATGGATCGTCGGGCTGGATCAGTTTCATCATGCTGAGTAGCGGCATCAGGCTGGAATGCAGGCATCAGGCCGAGTAGAGGCTTCAGGCTGGAGTAGAGGCTTCAGGCTGAAGAGAGGCATCAGGCTGAAGGAGAGGCATCAGGCTGAAGAGAGGCATCAGGCTGAAGAGAGGCATCCGGCTGAAGAGAGGCATGCCGGGCTGAAGAGAGGCTTCAGGCTGAGTAGAGGCTTCAGGCTGAGTAGAGGCTTCAGGCTGAGTAGAGGCTTCAGGCTGAGTCACGGAAGGCAGGTTCACCGTTTGGGTACTGGCAGGATGGTATTGGTTGGAAAGAATTTTCGCTTTTTCTGGTTTTAACTACTGGAGCACTGCAAGTAAACGCAGGTCTGCAAAAACGAATGGAGCAGCTGGAGACAGAGCAAAAAAACTGGAGGATGGAACAGGAGAGGGAGCAGTTGCTACAGAGGCTTTTTTACAGGGTTAAAGGCAGGATAGGTGCAGCGAGTGGGAACAGGGTACTGACATGCGGTATATAGCCAAGTATACTGGGCTTGTAACTGGAGGAGCTGGTGGGAATACAGGAGTAGAGTTAGAAGCAGGACTGGGTTTTTGTAAGCTGACTGAGGCTGGGTTGCAACAAGTCTGTCCCATGTCTGCAGTATGGGTTTGAACAAAGCTGAGCTTACACAAAGCCTGTCTGGTCAATGACTGCACTGCGTTTTATACAATCTCTTAGTGTCTGTGGTGAACATGTGGAATAACGCTCCAGAAAGTAACCCACATCATCCTCTAATAACCACACCAGGGACTCTACCTGGTCTGCCACTAAATGGTGGCAAAAATTCATCCCTGCATTCGGGGGAACCAGATGAAACCAACTCAGCACAAACCTCAATCAATGGCTGCACCTCAGAGAACTCTGTGCCCTGATCTACTAGAACATGAGCGAGCCGTATACATTCTAGTAGTTCATCCCGGGGATACTCCTTCAGAGTTTGATAAGCATACTCCCTGTCATCAAACACTAGCAGATATAAATACACTAACCTCATCCAGATCCATCCTTCCCAGCAACAAGCCAAGATGGCTTCCCTGTGCAGCCACTTCTGGTCAGGAATGGCCTTGGTGTAATGTCAGGGCTCCCAGGTGTGACCAGAGGTGTGTGAACTGACGCAGGGAAATGCAGACTTCAGATATGTGATAAACAATATAATTTATTAACACTAACGAATACAAACATAAACGCAGTGCAATACTAAACATAATACAGTGCAACAAACCAAACCAACCACCCACAGATAACAGTACATACAAGCAAAAGCGTCGTCAGGCAGGCCGGATCAATTATCAATTGGGCAGGTAGGATACAGGGGGAGCAAGCGGAGATTGGTCGGGGTCACAAGGCCAGGTTCAGCAGGTAGCTAGCAGCGTAGTACAGATGGGTCAGGCAGAGGGATGGTCAGGGTCACAAGCCAGGGAATCAGAACAGGTAGCAGGCAGCGTAGTACAGAGGGTCATGGCAGAGGGATGGTCAGACAAGCCAGGGGGATCAGAACAGGTAGCAGAGAATCAGACAGGAACAGAGAGCAGGAACAGAGAGCAGGAACAGGATACAGGGCCCAAGAGAAACACAACACCAAGGCAGAGTCTGCAAGTCTGGCCATCCCTTAAATACCCCAGCATAATCAGTTCCAGGTGGTTAGCTGGCTGCAAAGGTTGAGTCTCCTGATTGCTGGGAGCATCCGCTGGCCAGCCCTGTTACTGCAGCTCACAAGGCAGCTGAAGTCCCACCATTATTGGTGAATTCATTCCCCTGAGAGAGGGTGTGTTGCACTTGTCTGCTGAGCTCCAGAAAGGCCCGAGAAGCCTGGGCTAAAGTGCCCTGCCCAGCCCAGGCAGGATGGCGGATCCTGGGCCTGGGTCCAGCGGGGGCCAGCGAGGGAGAAGGCCCTGGAGGGGCCTAGTACCCCCGGCCTCTCTTTTCCCACCAGTAGAGGACCTGGGAATGGCCCCTAGGAAGGGGGAAGTTTATTCTGCCTACCCGGGGGACCGTGTGGCCGCTCGGGCCCAGGTTAATAGACAAGGAGGAAGCCAAGCTCCAGAAGCTGACCTGGGAGCTAAAGAAGTTCCGGTCATCCTACGACCGTGTATGGTCTACTAAGCGGAAAAAATTAAGGCCATGAAACCGGTACCTGGAGGCGCTGGAACTTCGTGTGTCACAGCAGGGGAGGTATGTGGCGCGGCGCTGCAGCGCGCAGAGCGGCGTCCTAAGCGAGAAGTATCTGAATGAAGCGAGATTTAAGGCTGCAAGAAGCCGCAGTGTTGCGGCGATGCGGGGTCCGGTGGAGGAGGCCTCTTCGGTGGAGGAATTGTCCGGGGGAGTTGCTGGTGGAAGGCGAGCAGGGGCAGGTTGAGCCCACAGCACCCTCAGAGGAAATGGCGTCTAAAATGGAAGACAGCGTGGTGGCAGGATCATCAGAGTCCCTCCCCCCTGGGCAGCTGCTGTGGATTGGGGGACCCAGGTGGAGGAGGAGGAGATAGTGGGCGGATTGCAGTTCCTGGCAGAGGCGGTTGCAGAGCTGCGTGGAGCCGACTTCAGGTTTACGTCCGAGGACTCTGAGGAAGAAGCTGAAAGTGATGTCATCCCCCGCAAGCCGGCTAAGCCGGTGGTGAAAGGAGCATGCTGCCTTTGTCATGCTGCAACGCATCCCCCAAGGACGTGTTGGCAAAGGCAGGGGAGCCATGGAAGGGGAGAAGGACTCTGCTGATTGTGTTGGGGAGATGGTTCTGGACACTGGGGTAGCGGGTATAATGCCTGCAAAATTGTCTGAGGTGCAGGTTAGCCCTACAGTCCTGGCTAAGGGTGTTTCCCCTCCGGTGGTGGTCCCACTGGGCCCCGCCCCTTTGGGGGGCATGGTGGCCTCTGGTGTGCAACCAGTATGTCCCCCGGTTTCTCCTCAGGGGGCTCCAGGTTCTCAGGTCCAGGCTCCTGCGGGTCCCGGCTCAGGTGGGTTCTCCTGCTGGTATGGGTGGTCCCCAGCCCCGGGCTCCCCAGGTCATGGCTCATCAGCATCTGCCCCTTCAGTTGCTGCTGCTGGTGTGGCGGCTTCCCCTGGTCATGCCCCCTTGATGTTGAGTGCCCCTGGGGCTAGATCAGGGCTCAGTTACTCTGCTGCAGTTAGGGGAGGTCAGGGGTCAGTGGGATCGGCCCGGGCAAGGGCAGGTAACCTACCCACTTCTGCCGCAAGGCGAAATGTTGTTCAGCTGAAAATGGTCAGGGGAGGGCCCCCCCCTTAGCAGGAGAGAGGTCTAATAGACCGCATATTAGAAATGGGCTTCCGTGCTGCGGATATTTTTGCGTTTATTGCTCCAGTTGGTACTGGAGAATATGACGTGTCCTTCATGCGGCCAGAATTGTTGGACCTCTTTTGGCAGAGGTATGAGGCCACCTTTGTCACCAGCCCTAGGTGGGTGGGCCTAACCCCGAGGCTCGTCTCTCGCCAGTCCCTGATTAAAAAAATAACGGTGGCTGGTGAGAAATGAATCCATCCCAGCATCAGATATTGTGGTCTGGCTAAGTAGATATGGGGATGTGATGGGGCCCCTTGGGAAGATCAAGGATGAGAGGGGAATATGGACAGGTGTGTGGACGACCACCGTACCGCCGCATTAAAGGTGGTTGGAAATGTGCTCCAGCACATTCCCTCTTCCGCTTTTCTAGGGAAGGACCGCGCCTGATAATTTTTTATGCGGGTCAGCCGAGGGTCTGCCACCGGTGTGGGGGCAAGGGGCATTTTGCGGCCACCTGCCCCATCATTAGATGTTCCCTGTGTCAGGAAATAGGGGACCATCCTGGCAGGGACTGCAATGTTGTCCGATGCAATCTCTGCGGGGGAGCTCGGGCATTCATTACAACCAGTGCCCGGAGGCCCTCCACAACCTTCCGGTGGGGGAGCTTTGAAGCAGAGTTGGATCGGATAGATGCTGAAGAGGCGGAGGCGGCATTGGAAAGAGAGCGGCTCTTCGGTTTTGCTGTGGCGGCCCTTGTGAGGGAAGGGGAGGTTTCTGTGGCCCCTCCTGTCTCTGTCCCCCCTGTTTCGTCTACCCCTTTGGAGTCCCCTGTTGTTCCCCCTTGTGAGTGCCGGTTCCTCCTCCCAGGGACTAAGAAACAGCTGAGGGAGGCTGCTAAAGGGGCCGGGTGGTTGAGGCTAGGTCTAGTCCCTCAGTGTCTGCTCCCCCCTTGCTCTTGCCGCTGCGGCGGAGTAGGAGGCCCGGTAGGGAGTCCCTGGGGAGTCCCAAGGTTCTGCTCCATTTAGGGGCTCAGGTGGAGAGGGGTGGTCCCTGGTGGTTAGGCGGAGTAAGCCAGTTTTGTCCTCAGCAGGGTCGGTGTCCTCTTTAGAGGCGGGGGAGGTGGCCCTGGGGAATAGGTTTGGGGCTTTGTCGGGGGAGGAGGAGGGGTCAGGTGATCCCGCTTCCCCGAAGGAGGACGAGGATGCTGGGGGGTCTCTTAAGAGAGTGAGGGACCCTGCCAAGAAAGTCAAGAGGAGGATTAAGAAACGTCCCTCTCAATTATCTTAATGGCAGTTCCCGCTCCGATAAAGGTAGCAACCATTAATGTTGCCAGCCTGAAGTCTGTAAGTGCTAG